TAGGGTCGGTGTGGTATAGGTGGAATTTTCAACGTATTGTGGAACGTCACGGCCTGCCAAATTTGGACTATTTTGAACAGTGAATTCCAATTTGGTACCACTGTGCAACGGTCGTCTTGGACTTATGGTCCGAAATAGCGGGCATTTCCTGCGGGCGTACTTTTAAATCTTCACAGAAATTGGTTTTGATTCTTTCCCCGTTTTTCAAGCTAACGTTCATTTTACTGCGCTCGCTCTCGATGTCTGAACTTCTTCTGACCCTTTTATACCATCTCTCACTGTACCAGTTTTTCTAGGCTCTAGTTTCGCAGCGCCCAAAAATATGCAGCAAAAATTTTATTGTATATACATATTTAGGAATACATCAAAGCATATTTTACACGCTTTTTTAAGTTTCACCTGAGTGTTTTTCCCATTGAGCTATAGACTTGAAACTTCAAACTTATGTAGCTCAGAACCAGGTGACAATGCAATATGTAGGATGAATCAGCCAGCCCTCATGAAAGAGAATAAGTCCACAAAAATTTTGCCCGATAGATGGCGCAGGAGCCAATATATTTAAAAAATCCGTATTTATGGTCAAATTTTTTTAATATTTTGAACGTATATATATTACTTACAGGAAAAGGAATAACTCCACGAAAAAATTTTCCTGCTAAGTGGTGCGGGGGTCGATTTCTAAAAAAAAAGCTTGTGTTAAAAAAAAAATTGCTTAATTATTGAAGTTAAGATTTAAAGGGGACTCTTTTTACGACAGCAATCAGTGCGCTGAGTATAACATTGATCGAGAATAGGATTGTGCCAGGGCAAATCTGGCTAAGAAGAAAAAAAAGGTCTTTCGTAAGGAAAATAAAATCCAGATGACAAGTTAGTTCGAAAAAGTTTTGTCATTCTAGTACAAATATCTTAGAAAAAGGTTTCTCATTCACCACACGTGGTGGAAAGTTATTTTGAGAGAAAGCACTTGTGTATATCAGTTAGCTCGCGGCGCTCCGACAGTCGCAATGGCCGAGTGAGCAGAGCACCGAAAGGCACGGGAGATCCGGGTTGGAAACCTCGGTCAGCGAATTTTTTTAATAAAAGTTTTTCTTTTTCCTAATTTAATTTACCTGTAACTATTTAATCTTTACATTTTTTTACGATTTCATTGCTTCAAAATGAAAAAATATTTATAAAAATTGCTTTAAATTTTTGGGAACGAAAACGAAATATTTTTTATTTTTCGAATTTAGTTTTCGTTTTGGTTTTAGATTTGATTGTTTTAAAAATAAAAACCATTTTTTTTTCTCATTTAATTTTTATGATCTTACTTTATTTTTTAATTTCTTTGATTATTATTTTTTGTCTTTTTTAATTTGATTGTCTTTTAATTTATAGATTTTGTTTTAAAGTAAAAAAATTTTCTTTAAATTTCATTTAATTTTTAATTACTATTTCCTTATTTTTTTGATTTGCTTTTTTCTGTTTCCAATTTAATTTTCTTTTATTAAAGCGTCACACGATTGGGCATTTGTCCAAAATTTGGTGCAAATTGTGTCCCAATTGTGTGAATGCACACATATTATTCGTTTTCCCAATCACGAAAACCGATTTATTAAAATTTTTGCATAGTAAATAGTTTGTTGTATTGTACCAAACGTGTGACTACAAAAATTTTTTTTTCATTTTGTACCAATAGCCCAATTTAAACAATGTACGAATCTGTACAAATGTACCAATCGTGTGACACAGCCTTTAGTTTAAGTACTATTTTCTCCTTTTTAATTTTTCGTTTTCTAATACAATTTTTAGATTTTATTGCTTTAAACTTTTTTTATTTGATTTTAATTTTATATTTATTCTTATTTATTTTTGCTTTATTTTCATTTAATTTTATTCGTTTTTTTTAATAAAATTTACTTTTATTTGTAGTTTTTATTGTAATGAAAAAAAATTGTACGTATTTTATTTTAGTTTGAATTTAATTTAAAAAAAACTGATTGCTAAAAGAACACAGCGTAATGGTAAGACTGCGATTAGCAGATCTTTCAATTAGTCTTTCGAAAGACAAGAAAGTTGCCAGATTTGACAACGAAAGACTCTTTGTTTCGAAAAGCTTGTGGTGAGTTGGAAGTCAGTTGCCAGGATTTCCCTGTAAGCCTCACCTTCTTGAGCGCTCCTGAAATTATGAAAAATAAGTTTTAAATTACCACTCAATGAGAAAGTGAAAAGCTTAAGTAAGTAGGTAAAAATATTATACCCAAGCTGATAAATCAAAGCTCAGCCGTGTGTGTTTGCCTTCAATTAATAATTTATACTCTACATTTATGGAATATGAAACATTGTTGCCAATAATTACTTGCATATATTTTCCTACGCATACACAGCCACTGTCGATGGCAATTAATAGTGCGACTTTTTCGCTTACATTTTAATTCGTCTTTCTTATTCCTACATACATATTTTCGACGAATGACTCAATTAAAACGAAGTAAAAAAGGCTACAGCCTTTATGTGTGCATTTTTTTTTAACAAATACGAAAGCAATATTTACGAGTAAATGACAAATAAGAAAAGAGATTAATGAGGCAATGAAAACAGCAAAAAGGAGTACTAATAAATTGAAGAAGAAGAAAAAAAAATTCAGCAATAATCAGCGAGAAAAAAAACAAGGAAAGAAGAGGCAATCGTAAAAATTGACTGGAAATAATTGCGAACAAGAAAGCGCAAAACTCGAATAAAAATGGAAATTCAAAGAAGAATGCAGTAAATACAACCTGACAAAAGTGGTAAAAGGCATTGTACTCGAAAGAGCTGATATAAATTATAGCCTGATAATACTTACACACGAACATAAATGCAAAAATATATGGAGTGCATATATGTACAGTGACGAAGAAAAGTATTGGCTCAGTGAATTTATCGCAATAAATGCAAAGTCTTTTATTCTGATTTATTTTCGATAATTTTTTATAAAAATATAGTTCATTTTACACAAAAAAAAACTAAAAAATAAAATCTCTAAACTTCGTACAAAATTCAGGAAAATTCATTAAATTTGCACACTAATTTGCATATTTTTATTCAGATTATATAGAAAAATTCTAGGTATGCAAATTACCAAAAATCAACGCGATTTTCTAGCGACTTCAAACTAAATTTGAATGGGCTATAAACTGCATACTTGGACTTTTTCTAAAAAATCTAAATATAAAGTTGCATATTAGTGTGCAAATTTAATGAATTTTCCTGAGTTTTGCAAAAAGTTTAGAGATTTTATTATTATGTTTTCTGGTGTAGAATAAAAAACTTTGCATATATTGCGAAAAATTCACTGTGCCAATACTTCTGTTCGGCACTGTACATACATACTTACATGTACCCATACACCTATATGTACTCGAATATGGTAGTACCGAAGGCGAAAGGCATGCGAGGTTAAAAGAATGCGATATGTTGTGTGGAGGGGGAAGCGGGCGTCTGCGTGCATTGAAATGCCTTTAGAATATTAATGCCGTCATTGTGAAAAGATTCATGTGCATACATACATATGCAGAAAAGAAGATAAAAACACATACATATGTACATACATGCATGCATACCCGTTCATGACGGCCCTTATTTGTATGATGAGATTGCAAGTGTCCGTGCAAGTGTATAAGCATTTAAGTAAACGGCTTACTCCTGCTTACAGTGCTTACCAAAGAGCTTTATGTGCGTGTATGTGCATATACACACATACATGCACACACTCATGTACCATTACCATACATATGTACATTCACAGACATCTTTTGAGTGAATAGGTAAGTGGGTAAGTAAGTAAGTAAGTGGACAAGCAAGTAGGTAAGCCCATAAGTAAGTATGAAGGAAGAAATTTTTCAACTTTGAAGTATTTCTTCTGAATGTATTAAAAAGTGAAATGAAATAAAGTAAATGAGTGGCATGCTTAAGAAATGGAAATAAAATGAGTGAAAATGAGAAAAAGGACTTTGTATTACAGCTGGTAAAAAAAAAAAAACAAATAGAATATTGCACGTAGTACATAAATGAGCAGTCTTGTATACTCTGGTCAATTGCCAGCTGCGAAAAAACCACTGTCAAATTTAAAGTAAGTCAAGTCACTGAGTTTGTGTTTGACAATCAGTGAAAGCAGATAACTTCGTGAATTTCGGTGACAATGGAAAAGAAAGTGAATACTTCAGATACATACATACTAATATTTTGTATACGCCCGCATCAGTGGCGGATCTAGAATTTTACTACGGGGTGGTTCTCGATTTTAAACCGTAAAAATATATATCTAGACTTTGAACAGTGTTTAAATATTTCTGTAATGTAACGCCATATATTCATCACAATAGGCCCTGAGCCTAAGAGTGTCTTATAGACGACCGCGACAACCAGCACCAATATTTTTTGTAGCATATTATTAGGCGAAGAGTTATGGGAATAGGTATTTCGGCAGAGGTTTGTCATCTAGTGAGAATAGAGCTGTTAGCATATAATAATGTTGAGATTATTAGCTGATGAAATTATCGAATATGGAATTTATTTCTACAGTTTTTAAAGTCCCAAAGCATACTTTTAGGCTTGCGACCAAAAAGAGTGGAAAATAAATGTCTTGCAGTACAGCTAAGGGCTCGTAAAACATATGTATATAGCTACATCTGGAAAGAAAAAAATCCGCTTCACCACAAAAATATACAAAAAAAATGTAAATCCGCAATTTAATAAATCTGCCTACTTATAGGCACCCCAGACAACAATACGTATGTACAATTATCGCAAAAAGCATTAATGAAATCAACATAATTATCTTTTTATAACCGTCATATATGCATTTTACTTTTCAATAGCTGCGCGTTGAGCAAAAGCGAAACTACAAAGATTAAGCGAATTTCATTATGGCAGCTGTACGATGCGCGCATCAGGGCGCACATTGCATATCAGCAGGCGCAACGCGCGGCGTTTACATTGATAAATGTGCGCAATAAACGCATTTTAATCTATGATTAACCTACCTTTTTGAAATTATCCTTGTGTGTGTTGCTTCTTTAATTCTTTATTCCACTCCACGCGCAGCGCCCAAAGAGTGTCAAGAGTCCCGAGAGGAAGGCAGGATATGAGACGAGTAAATACAGAGTATAAGCAGAAAAGTATGCAACGATTTTATTTTTTATTTATTTTTTTTTGTCTTTGCTTTTTCTATGTCTGGTAATAAATGACTGCTGCAGCTAGAACGCTTGCCGTATGATGCTTGCGGAGATGTGCCGCCCTTTTATGTCTGCGTTCAGTGGATAGTAGTTTTGAGTGCACTCTTGACGATGAGTTGAGTAGGCGGCATATTGGCTTGAAGTTCGGAAGGTGCGGCGGGCTGAGCGATGCTTAAGTGCTGTGTAGATGAAGGAGGTGCTGCAGCAGTGTGAATGCGAGCGAGTGTTTGGAGTGTAGAGCGTAATTGATGGGAGTTTTAGTGGTGGCTAGTTGAGCTTATTTATTTTATTTTTCTGCTGCGGCGAAAGTACGGGTTATTGGAGGGGATTACTGCTGTTCCCAGGATATTTGCATTGAACGTATTTGCTGTGGGGATTCTTTTTTGTGTTACTCGGTTATAATTTTAATTAATATAGTTTTTTTTGTTCTTTGTTTCCTCTTTTTTTGTAAGCCTTATGGCACTCACATTCAATGCCGATTTATTTTTTTTAATAAGCAATTTTCTTTGTTACAGTAATTTTTATTTGTAACGGTATTTATTAGCTTACACCGCCTATAGAAGTAGTTTTTAATACTGAATTTTTTCCCTTTTCACTTTTTGCTGCCGTTAATTCACTTTTGTTTTACTTACTCTTCCCACAGTGACCTACTTTGCTGTTTTTTTTTCTTATTTTGTTTGTATAACTGCTTATTCAATGTTATTATTTTCCACTTGCTGTAGAATGTATTCTGCACAATATACAATGGAATTTATTTGCATTTAGCTTTTTGCTTTTAATTTTCAATAAAAGCTTACTCCCACATTTGCTCATAAAATTACTTTCCTCAGCTCGATAGTATCAGTTAACTTATTAAGTTGGCGCAGATTGGTCTGTTGTATGAGGTTATTTATTACTAAACAGTGCATTGACCGGAAATGCATACATACACTCAGTTGCACATTTGAAGCAAATATTTAATGCAAACAGACTGTGTTCGGCAAATAGTTAAATTGCTGATCGTAGCGCTTTGCTTGCATAGCGTAGGGCGTAGTTGGCGCTGTGTGGTTGCTATGTGGTATGCGCATATTTATTTGTCTTTCGTATGGCTGGCTTTTATTTTGTTAATATTTTTAATTTTCGAATTATGTAGGTTTTCGCGAGTTTTGAATTTAAGTTTAAAAATTAAATTTCACTAATACTTTTTCTTTGAGTTTTTTCGAAGAATTTTTTTATTTATTATTGCGTCCTACACTGTTGGATTTGCTCTCGTTTAACGCTGCCACTATTTTTTTTACAGACATTTTAGACAGTTTTCAATCGTTTTTTATTTTTCTTTTTTTCTTGTGTTTTTGGCTGTACTTAATTCAACTGTATCCTCGTTTCATTTGAAAATCTGAAATTTTCAAAATAAAAATTTTTTTTGAGACTCAATTTTTAATAACATTTTTTAAATTGCAATTTTCTAAAAATTGGGACGTAAATTTCTTTTTATAGACATACAGTGGTCAAAATAATGTTCCTACAGTGATTTTTTTACAATATTCGCAAAGTTTTTAAAAATATTTTTTTTTGTTAATTTTTCACGAAAATATAGTTCACACTTTAACAAAAACCAATGTTTTTCATAATAATTTTATTCGTTAATTTTTTGCTTATTTTTTTATTTCAACAAAAACTATATCACCTTTTGCAAAACTTAAAAAACTCAAAAAATTTTCAGCAAAATTTTGATTTTAGAATAAAATTTGGTATGCGGTTTTGTAACTTATTTAATTTTAGTATAATATAGTTTCAAGTCGCTATAAATTACCATTGATTTTTTTAGAAATTTTTTCTGTTGTGCTTTATAATCCATTAACAACATGTATGTAGTTTTGAAATACATAAATACAAATTTTGAAAACTTGATGAAAATTTGTTGAGTTTTTAAGTTTTGTAAAAAGTTTGAAGATTTAACTCATATGAATTATATTTTTGCGAAAAATTAACAATCAAAAATTATTATAAAAAAAAATTCCGAATAATTACTTTGACCACTACATAAAGTTTAATATTTAATTTAATTTTAAAAATAGTTTTAACTTCCATAAAAGTTTTATTTTGTTTAATATGAGTTTTAACAAAGTTATAAATAAATCAAATTTTATTATCTGTCGCAATTAAAGTAAAACAAGAAGTAAAAGAAAAAAAAACAAAATAAAGTAAGTAGGTGAAACAAAATAAAGTCAAAAAAGATACTTAAAACTTAAAATCTAATAAAAATTTAATTAGAAATAATTTTAGTTTAAAAACGATTTTAAAGCAAAAAAAATAAAATATTAAACCAGCTTAGAAGTTTAATGTTTTAAACTATAAGTGTTACCAATTTTAATTTATCCCGGTTTATACATTTTTAATTTTAAAATACATTATATTTTAAATTTTTATTGTCATGCTAATTTCTTATTTTCCGGTATATAAGAAATGTATTAGTGATATTAATTTAAAATAATATTTCTATCCCGATTTATACGTTTTTTCGGTTTATAAATGTTTCGAATTTAAAATTTTATTTTATTTAAATTTTTATGCGAATTTTTTACTTAGCGGTATATAAAAAATCCATAAGGGCCGAAAATTTTTAATAAGTAAAAATAAAATTGTTATAAAATTTGTTTTTTTTTATAAAATTATTTTCTGTGCATATGTGATTTCATGCCATTTTTTATATTTAAAATATTTAAAAATTAAGGTTTTTTAACAAAATTCAAATATACTTTACTTAAATTAAATTGGAGAATAGTGAACATAAAATGTTTAATACAATATATTAACTTAGGGATGTGCTTCTCTTAAATATTTCATAAAAAAATTTACAAATAATTTGCTTTGTTATATTGATTTCCACTAAAATTTTGTTTTAACTAAAACTCGATTCAGTTTTACTCTTCTTCGCGTTCAACCCTCTCTACGTTTACCCTTTCGACCAACCAATTTAAAGCAATTTCCCCATTAACTGCCAATATTTAATTTATTGTGACACAGATTTCACAAAGATTTAAAAAATAAATAAAATACAAATAAAGTGATAAAAAAATGCGCAGAAGTTCTGTATTTTTTGCAATTTTTACGTAGTGTAAATTGGCTTTGGTTTATAAATCCCACAGAAGCATAAACACTCCAATGTGAGTACAAGTTTATATATATATGTGTGTCGGTGTGGAATTAAAATTTTAAGCCATTTTCATTAAAGCTGTGTGGCTTTTATAACAAAAAAAATTAACTGTGCAATTTCAATTTAAACCAATTAGAATTTTTCACATTTACTGAAACTTTTTTGCTTTATTAACTCGCATTTCATGCAACTAAGCGAATTTTTTGTTACTTTTCCAATTTTTTCGAATAATTTTTAATTTTACATGGCTAAATGGATTTTTAAGTAATCTTTTAAAGCAAATTTTTTTATGTACTAAATGCACTTTTTTCACAGCTCAGAAATATTTATTTAGACCAATATATTTTTCATAGTTGCTAAAAAATTTATTTAAAAAAATAAAAAATTTTTTTCGCTTTTGAGCTACACTTTGCTGCTTATTAGTTTTCATGTTTGATTTATTAAAATTTTTTGTACTGTCTTGCACAAAAATTTTAACTTCCTCTTTTTCAACTTTCGCCCATCACTTAACATTTTTTTTAAGTTATTTTTCTTTTTATTTAATTTCTTATTTGTACTCACATTCAAATATTTGTATTATTGCCCGATTGTTTTTTTTTTTTTGCTTTACTATTTCACTCCCTATGGCAATTCGCAATTTGCATAAATAAAGCAAATTAATTGGCTTTTTTCCGTTGCACACAGATTAAAATTGCGCACACAAACACACATACACGAAGGCACATACCATACACACACAAACGTACAAACCTAGCGAACAACAACAAACGCTGACAGCGCACAGCAACTGTCACGATTGGTAAACAAATGAAATGTCGCGCTTTTCCGTTTGCTTATTTGTTTGTTTGTTTACAATGTTGCCACGTAATTGATAAGGAAATGCAATTGCCGTTGAACGTCTGGTTTTGCATGCATATTTACTTGTTGTTGTTGTTTTTTGTTTGATTTATATGACTTTTAATTGCTTTAGTTTTTGTTGTTGCTATATAAAGTTGTAGTTTTTTATTTTTTAATTGCTTTGCTCATTTGTTTTTGTGTGTTCATTTCTTACTTTCGTTTTGCAATTAACGGCTGTCGTTATTGACTTTTGCGATTGTCGCTATTATAGCGCCTAAAAGTAGACTAGCCAACTTGCTTTACAAGTGCTCATAGAAGTGTGCTAGGCAAAGCTTTAAAATTTGTTTAAATTTAGCATTTTTTGGTTTTTTAAAGCCTCAATTTAAATGGGAAATATTCCGAAACTTATTTCCTTTGCATTTTACGGCTCTTGAAAATACGTACATATATCATTACAGCTCAATTTATTTTCAACTTCTGTCTTTATTTGAGGAGGAAATTGGCCAGAAAGCCTTAAAACAGCTTTTTAATATTTTTGATCCTGAAGGTGTGTTTACTTTTGAAAATATGTTCGGTATAAACAGCTAGATCAGCGCTCGAAAGTATGCCTCAAAAGATCTATGCTTCAGAGTCATTAATCAGTAGGCGCAACTGAGTTATGCACATTTTTTTCAATATAATACTTTATACAGCTTTCGAAAAATTATCTGAAATTTCCACAAATTATTAAAACGCGCTTTATTCTTATTGACATTGCGCCCAAAAGTAGGCCTTAAGTCATGACAATTTATTCTATAATATTTATTATTGTACACATCATTATTTTTTCCTCTACTATAAACAGTTTTTGTTTGAGCTACTAACTGATTTTATTTGATCTCCTTACAGGCAAGCAACGGTGGAAAGTGTTTAAGGTAGGTAAGTTCACAAAATTACATGTATATATCGCGCTGAAGATGAGTAGTTAAGCCAAAAACTACGAAATCTGAAAGCAATTTGCAGATTTCCTAACAGAAACCGAAACTGGCACTTTGAATACAAAGAACTTCCGATGTATGAAAGCAAAACAGTAAATTTAATTAAAAATTCTCTCAACCTTTCAAAAAGTGTGCCCACTACCCAAAAGTATGCTGTTGCTTTTTATGAAAAAAAAATGCCAGCACTATTCGCAAGAGACGGCATACTATAACCTCATCAACTTCGCTTAAAAATATGCCACAAATAATTGAATTTATTTTAAAATTCAAACCACACTTTTAAATTTCCTGTGCATTTCTTAGTGCTTTGAAACTTTTTAAGTTTCTTGTGTGGTATATTTTTAGGCGAAAACATTATGATTATTTCGGTCAGTTTTGACAACTTGTGGGTACTAAGCTGTTTAGAGTCATTCGCAAAGATCACGAATTTCAGTCAAAAAATGTCTCGTCAAATTAATTTGAGCCTAAAATTATCCTACGTAAATGTTTAGTTTAATATTTTTAAATTACTAAGAGCCGTTTTCTCAAATTGCTTTTAAATTTTATCTGGCCTTTCAAACCAATTTTTCCTAAAAAACGGGTGTTTAAAAGCTTTAAAACAAATTTGCTCTCAAAAAAGGTGTTTGAAAGGCAGCTAAATTTTAAAAGCTAAGTACGTGAGGAAAGCAGTAACTGCTTTACTGACATTCTCTGAGCTTTGGTCCTTGTCTTATTTCTGAAAAAGCTTTTTTACTCTAGTCCAACAAACTTGTACCCTAAAAGTATGCAACATCCTGCATTTCAGACTTTGTAAGTGAGAATTCAAAAAAAAGTGTGGCAACTTTTAAAATAATAAAATTTTTTCAAAAAAGCCAAAGTTTCTTCCAGCAAGTATTATCTGTTGAGATAAAAAATATTCCAGAAATATAGTGCTAACTTGCTGTACCTACAGTTTTTTGGTAATTAATCTGACACCCTAAAACTATGCAAAATCCATTATTTAAAGATCTGAAACAGTGAGTGCGCAAAGATTTAGCAATATTTTGTTAGAGCTATCAACTAACAATTTTAAGAAAAAAATGTATAAAGAGATATTTGATTAAGTGAAACTGCCTCTAAAAGTATGCAACACTTTACTTCATATCACGCTTAGGTGCATTCGAAAAATGTAAGCTTTATTTTACAAAAGCTATAAACTAACAATTTGAAGAAAAAATAAAAAAAATATTTATTGAGAAAAGTAAAACGGCCCTTAAAAGTACTTTACTTTGTATAACGCTTAAATCAAATGTATGCCGGAACCATAGTGCTTTCTTTCTGTAACTACAGTTTTTTGATAAATTCACTTACACCCTAAAAGTATGCAACATTTATTATTTTAAGTTTTGTAAAAAGGTATGCGAAAAATTTTTAGCATTATTTTATAAAAGCTATCAACAAACAGATGAAAATAAATGAAACATATATTGGATAAAAGACAAAACTGCCCCCAAAAGTATGCAACACTATACTTTATATATTGCTTAAGTGCAATACGCAAATAGATTTTCAACAAATATTTCCTAATTATTTTATAATAATTTTTATATCACTATTTATGAAGATTCAAAGACCAGGATCTGTAAAAATGTATATTTGCAGTGAAAAATATGCAACACTTTAATCGAAATATTCAACTGGTAACTAGCAAATATCAAACAAAAAAATTTTAAGTCCAGTTAAAAAGCTATTTACATGGACTTAGTCGATCAAATTAAAAAAAGAAAAATAAAATGTGTTTGCCCAAAATTATGCAAGGCTTAATGCCAGCACAATGTCTACATCTTTATTTCCTGCATGCCATTATCCTAACCTAATTAAGGCGTATTCAAAACAAGAGTGTATCTTTTGTCCTACAATAATAACTAATACACCCTAAAGTATGCAACAAATTGCGAAAAGTCTGCTCTGAATTTAAGAGTCGCTACGCTGCTTATGATAATTTAAAATAACTCATACAACAATTTTTTTTTTCTGTTCCCCCTTCCCAAATTATGCAATGTCTCCTACATAGCTATACATTTTTTAATTAAGAAAAATAGCACGTTGAGCTTATTGGAATCCACACACATATTTGTATTTCTAGCTAATCGCATATAATAAAGTCAATTATTTATTGAGATACCCTAAAATTAAGCAAGTTCGTTCATGTATGTTTGCGGTAATATATATTTTAAGCATTTATTAAAGCTGAAAGTTGGTGAACGCTTTAAACACTTCCACTAAGAAGGCTTCAAATTGGACTGACCCGCTTTTTATATTATTTAAACAATTTAGGCTTGAGGGCCTAAAATTATGCTTACTGGAATATTGCAGGAAGCGCAGATCACAGCACTGCATATTTTCTGCGCTACTTTTACTCTTTATTGGCCTCAGCCCCTAAAAGCATGCTTCAAAAACTAGCAACAGTCCCAATTTACACAAATGCAGCTTTATTAGCATCTACCCTCAAACTGTTGGCTTTTACTTTGCAACTTTTTCGCTCTACGTACTTTAAATCTTGCCGCCAACGCCTTAATATGCACTGCTTTTCCTACAGCTATAGCTGTACATACATATGTATGTGTAAACTGCCACCGGCGAGCTCAACGATCGACAGCGTAAAGCTCTAAGTTTAGAGTGAAAGAAGATTTACGTCAATATACTTTTTTCTTCGTAATTTTAGACTTAACAAGCTGCCACTACGCTATGCTGGTTGTTTTGCCTTCAGCACAATGCCAGGCATTAACGCCTTAAAATATGCAAATACGCGTTCGCAATATATCACTGCAACGCAGCATGCTGGGAGACAACAGCAACAACAACAACAACAAAAGCAGCAGACAAAGCGTACATGACAGCGCCAATAGCTGGCGACAAGCAGCGACAAGGATAAACAGCTTTTCATGATATTCGATGATAGGAAGAAGAAGAAGAACGAGAAGAAGAAGAAGGGTGGCACCAGATGACTAGACTAAGAAAAAGGGCACTGAGATAGCACAAACTTGTTATATTCAACTTGTCTACTATCTTTTCCTGCGCGACTAGACACACACATACATACAGCTTGTTTTTATTTCTTCGGTTGCTTGGCTGCCACTCGACGCCTTGCGTTTTGCACTCGATGAGCCGGATATTCAAAAATAACTTCCGGAAAACGCACACAAATATGCAAGAAAATACATACATATGTATATAGATACACACACACCCACACACACATGCACCTACTCAACAGCTTGCAAAACTTATTTGTTTGGGGCGCAAAAACACTAAAGGAAACTGAGGCGAAATTTGCCATCATTTTTTGTCTTTTTTTGTAATTTTTGTTTTTCGTTTTGCACTCAGCAGCAGCGTCTGCTCAATGTTTTTGTGCTGGCGGTGGCGGCTGCGGCAGCGACAGCAGCAAGAAAACGCCTTTTTTCAGTATAGCAATATATTTTCGGTATTAGCAGTGAGTGCTACACTAATGTATTAATACCTTTCTCTTGGAATTTTCTACGCACTTTTAAATTCTCATCAAAACGAACGCCATCGATTTTCATTCGACACTAAAACAATCTATCACGAAATCCATTGCGTTTTTCACTTTTCTTGTCCATTTAATTGCGGAGCTGGAAAAAAATCCAGAGGAAAACTGCACGACGCGACCGAGCGTAAAACGTTCGACGTTATACCGTTACCGATTTTTCCCGTTAGCACGTCTTTTTCACACGACAATCGCTGGCAAACTGTTCGATACAGAGCCACTGAATCGGCGGCGACGGCCAAGTGAGGCGACACAATCGCTATGCGCGCTCGCACAGCTTCACACAGCGTCGACTACAGTGGCGTACGAAAGGCAAGTGCCAAAGGAAAATAAACCAACACAGATGGCTACATTTGTACGTACGCATTGCTGACAATAAGCACCGCATAGACACTCGACTCACTCGCTTACCGTTAAGAATATAGTCGGCTGTCGCCTGTGAGTATATCTGGCTGATGCGTTTGTCATCCCGGTTGTGTCCCATACACACACACGCGCACACTCACAGTTTTAGTCGACGATGCACACCATCCTCCATTCCACTCCTCACTAGGCATCACAAGTCCGAGAGCTATGCTCCATGAAACATTAAATTCAGCGCTCATCGTAGTAAAGGCATGCGTTGTAGTCTCTCCTCTCCCCGTGCAGATTTGTCGCTTTGTCGCGTGAGCAGTTTCCACTCGCATATTAATTTCTTGACTTCGGATTTTACTCTCTTACAGAAATTAAATATAACAGTTCACGCTCCCTTTTGTGCGCTCTCCAGCTCCATTGGTTTCCTGCACAGTATAACAACGATGCAGGATTCTCTCTCTTATCACTATCAACGTCCAAAGCCGGCTGTTTGTTCATTGAGAAAATGCGTCGTATAATTTTATTGTTTATGTCCGGGTTGTGGTAGCCACATTGTTTGTTTTTTTGCACTTCTGCAAAATTTATGGCAGACATAAAAAGAGAGGGAGCATGTGGTGAAAAAGTCTCGCAGAAGTGGCTTGAATATAAAGTACAGGGAAATGAAAACAAAGCGCATTGCAGAATGTGGTCTATAGCTGATTAAGCTATTGGGAAATGAAGAAAAGTTATTAGTCCTGAATAAATAGCTTAACGTTTCGCGCAAGGACTGCTCGAATGGTTAAATGATCTTCCTTATGGAGCCCCCTTACAGTATAAGAAAATAGCTTTCAAAGGTGCACTTGAGTTTAAAAGATCCCAATCACGTTTGAAAGTGAAACCTTCCAAATATTTTCTTGCCTACGCCTCTTAATACGTGTCCAGACACTGAAACCTCTGCTCCAAAAATCGCTTCAATTGATCCTTTAGATTACCGCGATCAGTGATCAGTTTGAGACTCAGCCGGGTACATATCAACAGGGCGTACAGGGCACATCGCCAACGAATATCCCATTTCTACATTGACATATGGACAAGCAGCTAAGACTCAAAAGACAATAGCCGAAAAGCGCTGGTTAGGAGCCACCAAACAATACTGACTGGTGGCAACCCTAGATGTGGTGGTTAATTCCGCGAGCTGGAAGGAGGTACTAAATGCGGTTTGTAGCGTAAAACCAACCAACAAAAAATCATCTCCGGCTATCTTAGCGACAATGGATTTTTTGGGTATGAACCAACCCAGCGTTAGGTCCTGTTTTGTGGAACACCATGTATGATGGTATCCTGCGGCTTGCAGTTTCTGAAGCGGTCACATTCATAGACTCCGCGAGCGACATGTGCACCGTCATTGCAGCAAATACGCTGGTAAAAATAGTAGCCATCACGGAGAGCGGTATAAGAGCAGCTGAAGGGTGGTTAAGCTCGAAATTATTAACACCAGCAGCCCACAAGACAGAAGACGTTCTGATCAGTAGTCGCAAGAAGGTGGATAAGGTGGAAGTAAGATTAGGTGATGCCATCATAGAGTCCAAGCCGTATGTAAAATATTTCGTTGTCTTGATTGACTATCGCCTGTGTTTCCAAGACCATCTGGAACTAGCCAACAAAAAAGCGGCGATGGCAAAAGCAGCAGAATCTAGATTAATGGCAGCAGTCTAGACAAGTCTTAGCAGGGATGGTGAGGTCAATATTCTTTTGCGCAGTCAGACAGTCTGGAGGTCTGGAAGTTTTCATGACGGGCATCCAACATACGAGGCATCAATGCTACATACCGCCTGTGTGCTATATGAGCGTGTTAAGCTAATGTCGCTCGCGGCGGGGTCTGCCTTATGCATCGCGTACAATACTGAAAACCGCAGCGAAAGCCCAAAATGTAGAACAGTGGCCCACTCGTTGGGATGGAACAACAAACGGCAGGTAGACTTAGCGCCTCATACCGAAATTTTTTATAATAAGCAGCATGAAGAAAAAGAAATGATGTATGCTATACGCCTGGCCATGTATTAGGCTTCCTCCAATACGTCCCAGAATAACTGCTGGAAAGATCATAACTAAGTTACGACATATAGTGAACGTGCTTCTAAACTAATATCGAAGAACCAGCATTAAATTGTTGCGTCCAGATAAGACTAGACTTAAAAATTAACTTCTTACTGGTACAAGACAAAATAGGGAGGGTAGGAAAAAAGCAAGCAAGACAAGCAGTAGGTGGAATAAATGAACAGTAACGAACTTGGAGCTTAGTTCCCGAACCAACTACCGCGCGGATCGGTATATATGTAGAGGGCATGAGGTTTAGTGGGTTAAAGCCGCACACTAACTGCGCTATATTTTTGTTGCTTCCACATCTGAAAAAACTTCTACATATGTGCATAAGTGAGAGACGCTGGTCTTAACATGGAACGAATCAAGCTGATCGCTTGCAGTGTATAGGATTATATGGTCAACAAGGAAAGAAATAGAAGCTGCTCCAACGCTGGTTGGGTGGCTATGTAGGGGGAGTTGCAGTACCAACCAAGATCATCGGAAAGTGAACAAGGATGTGTGTTAACTAGACCAGTCCAGCTATGTCGGTTCAGACTCCATACTCATCATTTAAATTTAAAGTTCGGAAGACCAACATCTGCCATCAAATTTAGAGAACGTTGACGAAAAGAATTTGAAGCAAAAAAAGTTGACAATCCGAAAGAAATAAAGCCAATAGTCCCGATATCGCAAATAAAGGAAAACGATTTAAGGTTCGCCTTGGCCCAACCAATGTTCGTAGACTTAACTATGATGGTTGTTCATAGGAATCCAGCAACTTAATTCAATAGAGTACTTCTCGCTTCTACCCACCTTAGTTTAGGTTATGTAACTTTTGCGCTTCTGCCTTTGTTAGAACCCGCATACTTAGGTCCTTTGTTTGGATCTTTTGTGAGTGTGAGTAGTAGTAGTACCAACCAAGATCATCGGCAAGTGAACAAGGATGTGTGTTAACTAGACCAGTCCAGCTATGTCGGTTCAGACTCCATACTCATCATTTAAATTTCAAGTTCGGAAGACCAACATCTGCCATCAAATTTAGAACCCGCATACTTAGGTCCTTTGTTTGGATCTTTTGTGAGTGTGAGTAGCATGCTTAATTCCTTCCAGGAAAGCGTTGGCATTTTACTATGCCCCGGTACCTATTACCATATGCAAAGAAGCTGCCCAACCATCCTATTTAAGTATCTGTGGTATTCACCTATGGATTTGGAGTGTCATGCGACAAAGTCAAAAAGTATTAGAGCCGCCTTGCTGCTTGAATAAAATGAATATATTGAGAAATCACTTCGTCCCAGGAACGTCTACAGATAATGCTAGTCCGAGAAACTGGTAGCGTAATTTTATCAAGAATGTGTGTCTGCTGCACTCACCGTCACTTTGTGTCTTCAAATAAATTATGTTGGTAAGCAAAACGAGCGTGCTTTTCTCTGGGTTCCAGGTCACTCCGGAGTATCTGGCAATGAGATATCTGATCAGTTGTCCAGAGTTTGCTCAGACCAGGCATTCCTCGACCAGCAGCCAGTTATGGCACTCCCACCTTCGACAACCGTAGCCACGGTCAGAAACTATGTGAATACTTCGCTCAGCAATGACCTCACTGAGCAGACGGGACTGCAGACAACATGTTGTCAGTCGACGTGACACAAACCCCTGACTGTGATAGGCGTACATCACAATTCCATTTGTTCATGTTGACTTGAAGAGGATGAGACGGCGGAACACTTTTTGTGCTTCTGTCCCGACTTGCAAGAATTAGATTGACAGACGAATGCACCCCATAATAATCTGCCCTATTATAGTTGTCGATGTCGACGTCGATGTAATTTTTTCATCAAAAAATAGCCCCCATAAGTTCAGCTCCATCTATGCTGACGAAATGATGTGGTCAGTGTAGCTCGAGTTGGACTTACGGCGGCTATTTTTTAATGAAAAAATTACGTCGACGTCGACAACCATAATAGCGCCGAATATCTGCTTCGTCCAAATATTCATAGAGTAGTGCCTTTTTTACCGCCAGAGCTCATTTTTGCCATTGTTCCTTAGTGTCGACCACTGATGCGTTTCATGCCCACCCAAGAACAAGAGAGGCCACGTCTCAACAAAAGCAAATCAGCCTTTGTTGACAAAATTTACATACACATATCATTGCTGCGTTTCCTCCTAATTCATTTGGAAAATCCATTTGTCAGAATCACTTCAAATTGACAGCGTAGCATTCCCAACCATTAGCCGTATCAGCTGCCTTACTTCCTCACCCAGCGCTTCCTGGTACTTGAGTTGCATTAGAGCGTCCGAAAATATTGAGAAAGAAGATAAAAATGCATTAAAAATCAAAAAACCAGCCACAAAGCCATTAAAATATTCCACATGGCGATAAAACTGGGAGATTAAAAAGGAATAATTGCCGAATTGCTAATAGGAAGGGGAAGCAGCAGGGGAAATGGAAAAAAGCAATAGTCTGCCGCTTGCAAAGTGACGCACTTCAAATTGAGTGAGAGCTATACTTAAGCAAACAAACTAGTACGAGAACAGGATATACTTAGTTAAATATATGTACATATATGAGAGTATGCGAAACTGATACGAAAGCAAAAGTCGCATATGGAATGCTAAAACAATCAAAGCAAATGACTTGTTAGGCAATTGGGTGCATGAAAATAAATCACACTTCAATAGGCAACTAAACTGCAAGGGTAGAGAGAGAGAGGCGAAGCGGAAGAAGGACGCACACAGCCAGAGCATGAGCGAGTGGGTAGAGCAAAGGTGTGAGGAAAAAAGTGATGTTTTGTTGTGGCTTCTTGTACGACTTTCAAGAGCGTGGCAAAACAGCAGGCACCACTCACCAACAGCCAACA